AATCAGCCCAACAAACTGAAATTTGCCAATAATTAATATGTACTTATATTTTTAGCTTTGGACATTAACAGTACCTGTTTTCCTAGTATATATTATTTCTATTATATCTATTATATTTATTAGTTCTTATATATCTTAATATTATTATATATAGCATTTATTAGCAATAGAGTAGTCTTTATTATAATAATTTATATATGTAAAATATCTATAAAAGCATTACTTTCTGACCCCTTAAGAAAGTTAAGTGTCTCCATATACTTTAATAAGAAGTGTCTTCATACATTTCATAATAAATAAACTAAATGCAATATTTAGTATCTTCATATATTATCTATTGTTGCCTCTGCTTTAAAATCCCAAATCACTCTGTATTTTGTTAAGTTTTGTGTAGACTTTGTATAGAATCTGTCAAGTTATAGTTGTCATACTATAGTTGAACAGCTTTTGTTATTGCTATAATTAAAAGAAAAACTACAGATTAACAATATATAAACAATATGTTAATAATACCAAAATTAAGTTATATATTACAGCTAACAAAAATATCAGAAAAAAGTATAAGTGAAATACATCAACTAATAATAAGTTTAGCAAAGCAAAAGAGCAACCTACAAAAGAACATTAAAAAATTATATAATAAAATACAAAGATCTTAAAAGCTGCAAAATATTATGACAAGAATAAATGACAAAACAAATAAGTGGCCTATTAGCAAGACTAAACAAACAAGATAGTCTTGGTCAGTTAATAAAATTAAGAATAATACAAAGGTGCCAAAGAGCAAATTTAATGAAAGATATATAAAAAATAGAGGAGATGCTAAAAATATAGAAGGTTGGAAAAGTAATTTAGTTTGTCTGACATTGCTAAAAGCAAGAAAACTTAAGATAAACATAAGAACAGAAGACAATCTATAGACAATATTTGGATATAGATCAAAATAAGAAAACTTATAGATATATAATTACAAAAAAGAAGTAATACTAAAATAAATAAAGCAGGCTTAATATATCTAAGCCAGCTGATAGATACAAAAGAAGAGAGATTAATTATATGACAGTAGCTAAAAAGTTACCAAGGTCTATCAAGTAAAGAAAAAAAAGCAGAATGGTTTAAAGTAATAGAACTAAAAGTGCTTATTAGATCAGAAAATAGAGAAGTTAAAAGACAATTTAGAACAATCAAGCAAAACACTTAAGCAATGCAAATAAGATGGAAGTATATCTCAGAAGACAAAAAAAGAAAGGAATGGGTATGGGTAATGTATAGCATACAGAACAATTGACAATTAGGAAAAATAGTCAAAAAAAAAAGAAGAAAATACCAGTAAAATATTGGCAAATACAGAGTAAAAAAAGTAAATTAGTTATCGAAATTAACAGATATAAGGATTGTATAAGTAAAGAAAATATCAAGAAGATAGCTGCCAATAGTGGATAAAAATAAATAACAGAATCAATATAATTCCAGATGTATTGATAAAAAAAAGTAATAACAAAATCAAGATAGCAATAGATCAAATAACAGAAACAATAAAAACAAACAAACCAATGACAGAAGAACAGAAACTTGAAGGACTAAGAATAATAGAAAAGCCAGAAATAGAGATAATCAGACAACCAAAGTTAAAGGTAGTATTAGTTAAGAAATAGTAGAAGTTTTAAGAAAGAATATAACAAGAAACAAGAACAAGTATATAATATATACAGACAGAACAGCAAACCTGAAGACTAAAGAAGACATAAGAAACAAAAGTAGTATAGGCATAAAGTGGGTGCAAATAGACAAAACACAAGAATAGCTAGAAGAAGAAATAGTATTAGGTTTAGAAAGATGGCAAACATCAACAATAGCTGAGTTAGTAACAATATAGGTTGCAATTTTAATGATACCAAAAGAGAAGCAAATAAAAATATATACAGATAGTAATACAGCAATAAGAAACATTAATAGAGGTTTAGAACAAGTATGCAAAAATAAAATTCTTAAAAAAAAGAATGCAATATGGATAATAAAAATTAGAGAGCTTATTAGAACAAAGAACATTCAAATAGAATTAGTTTAAGTTAAGAGCCACAGTAAAGATAGATAGAATAATAAAGCTGATAGTCTAGCAAAAAAAGATACAACAAGTAAAGAAATTATATAGGTTAAAAAAATCAGTTGCAAAAAGATAGAGTATTACTTAGAGTAAGAAACAAATATATTGACATATTAGCAAGACTGCTATGCAAATTGATAACAAATATAAGATTAGAAGTAGAATAAAAAAAAATAAAAGTAATCAAAGGATTAGAACCAAAAACAGAAGTTATGATTTATAATTGGACATATGTTTGAAATAGACTGAAGGTATCTAAAGAAATATATTGCATAATAACAAGAAGTAATATCAGAAGAAATGTATTTATAAAGTACATAATAGATAAACTTTTAATACTAGAAGAACTGAACAAAAGAAGACCAAAGATATATACAACAACAGAGTACCAAATATGTTAAGATAAAACAAAAAAAACACAAGCATATTTGACAGTATGTAAGAGACAAAGAAATCTGTAAAAAAGAATCCAAAAAGTGACTATCATAACAGCCTAGAAAGGGTTAAAGGAAGAAGAAAAAGTTCAGATCCCTCTATATGTATTATATACAATACTCTTTGGAAAAACTAAAGCAGAGAAAATTAAAATAAGAAAGGCATTAATCAAAGGTCTTATTCTAAAAGAAACACAGGACAGATTGAGACAACTCCTAAGTACAAAATTAAGGTAGCAGTTTATAAAAGTAATAGCAAAAATGGCCTGAGACATATTCTACAAACAAGTATGAAGAATCTGATATAAGAAGATCAATGAATAAAAGAAAAATGAAGAAATAATGAATAGAATAAAAAGAAGAAAAGAAAAAGAGAAGAAAGCATCAAGAAAAAAAAAAAATTCAAATCAGCAAGTAATAGAAAAAAAAAAAAAAGTAAAAGAAAAAGGAAAACAAATTAGAAAAAAAGTACAGAAAACAATTTTAAAACTTGGCATAAAAAGGAGAAAACCCTTTTATTATGAACTTTAAGTAGTCAAATGAGTGACTTATTTCTGCTTGAAGTAATGCAACAGGTTGCATTTAGATACCAGTAGGATGGCTGAGTGATGCTGAGCTTAGTTGTTAAAGATATTTATATAATTGCAAATGTAATTTTAAAATTTTAATAAAATACTAGCATGACTGCTTAAAGAAAAAAAATAAAAATAAAAAATAAATATTAACAAAAATTGAATTAATCTTTTTTTATAATTACTCTACTTAAATCAAATATTAAACTTTTATTATATAATATAAAAAAATAATATAAAATTCTACAATATATAAAAAATCTTTATTCAAAATATAGTATTTCTAATGGCAGTTTATTATTCCAAATAGATACTTTACAATTAACTTTATATGATTATTTCAAAAAAACTCTTAACATTCTTTTGATTTTTCTAATATAACAAATAAATTACAAAATTATCTTATATTAGCAAAAGTTAATTATAAAATATTATTATAATAGAAAACTCATACAAATAATCAAAATTACAAAAATATCACAAAAATAACTCAAGACTACCTGTATATATAGACTACTAATGTACCAAGTAAACAAGTATATACAGTTACCAAATATACTATAAACTCTTTATAAAATTATTTAGATTTGAAAAAAACACAAGCAACTCTGTCTTAAAAATTAGTATAAATTTAATATAATTAAAAAACCTAAATTGTAAAATTTAATAAAATTAGTTTAACATTAGTATTAGTTTAATGTTAGTATTTTTTAAAAATTAGAATTATACTTGCTGGTCAAATCTTAAACTATTATAGTTTGATTTGTTTATATCCAAATCCCCAAATTATCTATATATAATATATTTACAAAATATCAAAATTATTTTGTTAAGTTGATTTTTTATAAAAACAATTTGTTTTTTAAAGGTTTGAAATTTGTTCAGGTTTTATCAGCAAATATAGTTGGGAATATTTTGTATTTTTCTAAATTGTAAAGATCTATTAAATTTCTGAAAAAAAATTGATATGTAAACTGATTTTTGAAACGACATAAGATATTCACATGATATTTTTGAACTCATTCTCGAACTGTTTCTAAACTTGAACTCTTATGAAACAGGACTGAACAGGACCGAACCGAACTTTTAACATCTCTATGTAAATTACATTGTAACTTACGATAGTGCATTGTCACATGATAACTTTGCCAACATTACAAAAGTTTAGCCAGTACTAATAGATATCTATCATTATGTTCGTCAGCTTTATATTTTAAACTGTTTTCCAGGCATGATTGATCTTTAATTAAGCTATCAAATTATATTAAATTGTAGTCTAAATCGTAGTAGATTCGTAGTTAAATTGGAATAAAAATTTGCAAAAATTATGCACATAATAAAAATTACATGTAATTTTGATTTCAGAAACTTACGTAAAATTACGTAAAATTACGGTAATTAGTATTAACACAATTTTGGCTCGTACTAACTCTAAATTTTAGGAGAGGTCATTTTTGATCCGGGTTAAAATAGAATTTCCTTATAATTAAATATAATTAGCTAATTTTTGTGTAATAAATTCTGATTGGTGAACAATATATAAAAATAATTTTTTTTTATCTTAAACGCCAAATTTTGATTGTATATAAACCTCATATAACTTTTTAATTTTACAAGAAAAGTAAAAATCTATTCTAACAGAATTGTAATTTAGACTAAAAGCAACAAATCTGTAAGACAGGTGTCTGTAGTACTGTAATACATATCACAAATTATGTGATCTCAGAAACTAGCCAATCAGAAGAACTTCTGTATATGATATCGTGTTTTGGTCGGACTGATCCGGTCAATCAAAAATTTCGTTATCCAATTGGTCGAAGTCAATGATAAAATATTTTTAAAAAGGGTATTTTCCGTCTAGTTACAAGATTTTCTTATTCATTTACAGAAATGGTCCCTCAACTTCCACCTGAGACTTATCAAAATGTATTTAGGAATCTTGCTTCAGACACAAGATCTTTGGCTTCTGTTATATTAGTTAATCGTACATGGTGTAAAATCGCTATACCGATTCTTTGGCAAAATCCTTTTATGCCTTTTCCTTCTTTCTTTCTTAACACCAATAACGGCAATATTCCATCAGATACACCAATCATCGAAGCTTATATAACTTGTTTGCAAGAAGAAGCCAAAAAAAAATTAATTGATGCTAGATTGGAATCATTTTTTCCTATAAAAAAAACACCATCTTTTAATTATGCATCATACTTACAGACTTTGAATTACCGACTCTTGCAAGATGCAGTTAATGAAGTATTTCCGGACACAATTTCAGAAGAAACAAGAAAAGCAAATGTCACATTAGTTCTTGAAGAATTGTGCAAATTATTTATCAGCCAATGTGCGAGCCTAAAATCTATTCAATACATCGGTTATCCGTCACTTAGTCCTTACATAATTGCGATTCCTTCTCGATCAATCGAACCAATTTTTATTGATTTATGTGGGCTTCCGGGTGCTGAGGCTTGTCTGTCCAAATTACAAAGTTTTGAGTATGGAGGTGAATAAATAATATTATCACACATTCTTATGTATTCTTAATAAATTACAACTCATCATATATATATTTTTTAAAGGAAATATTCCCATTGATTTACTTCACGCATTCTCCCGGGTCGTCAAGGAACTCGACAGTTTGACTATTACGTCACTTGGAGATGATAATGAAGGATTAATAGCATTAATAGATGCTCAGACCAAACTACAACATGTTAAAATTCATGCACATGAGAATATACCAAATATTATATCAGCAATTCAATCCAAAACCGAAACGATCAAGAAAGTTTCTATCATCGGTCGCACCTCCATTCTTTTGGATGACTTTTGTGGGTTTACCAACCTTGAAGAATTGACATTGGAATTATTGGAATTTCCATATAATCGTCTTTCAAGAAGCTCTTTATGGGTTACTCAAGCAGAAAAGCAAGAAATACTCCGGAGGCAAAGAGAATTTCAACAGTCTTTTCACCAAGCACAAATTCAATATCAAGTACAAGTTGCCCCAGTTGTCCAACCAATGGCTCAACAACAACCTCAGCCTCAACAGGTAGCAATCCAAAATCAAAATCAGGGGAATATATCTCAAACACAAAACCAGCCTACACCTTCTACGTCTCAAACACAAGACTTATCTATACCTTCTGTCTCTCAAGATATTTCTCAAGATATTTCTCAAGATATTTCTCAAGATACTTCTCAAGATACTTCTTCTACTTCTCAAGTACGAAGCCGACCTGCAACATCTACATCTGTGGCTCAATCAGAAGATCATTCTTTAGATCAAAGACAAGACCAAAATGCAGATCAAGATCAAAATCAATCTACTGCCCAAATCCAAGCTCAACCTATAGCTACGACTAACACACCAAACCAAATTCCAGGCGGACGAGGTAACTGATATTGCATTTTGTTTTCATAATACAATTAACTTCATTATTAATGTTATTGTGTCTTATTACAAGCAAACCAAGTTGCTACGTTCGCACAACAATTTGTTTCACTTTTGGGTACAGATCATCGACCGTGGCGTAATTTATATCCTTCTGCAACTTCAGAGATAGAATGTTATGCTAATTCCAGCCTTACTAAGCTCCATAAGCTTAGCATAAATCTTACTGGTCAACGAATACAGCAATTAATTTTGTTAATTCAAAATACCCATGGAAGTCTACGTAAAATTGATATTGATCTCAGAGACCCATTAGATCCAGATAATTCAGGAACCTTGTTTTCAACAATTGCCATTTGTTGTCCAAATCTTACTTCTATTCATATCTTCGTTTCGAATGACGCTATTACACAAATGCCAACATTATTTTCTAGCTGTCCGAAACTTCAAGAAATTGATTTAGTTGGAGACAGAAGTGACGAGGGGAAATTGGACATTGATGATGTTCTTTGTGAAATTGGAAGTGTCGTTCCAGAAAATTTGAAATTTCTCAATTTGGGATCAAAGGCATGGACCTATACAAAAGATTCGATCAGCGAATTTCTTAATGAATGTGAAACTAGGCTGAAACGTAAACCATGTACTTTTATCATGGGTAGTCATTTGTCGAGAAGAGTTGTAGAAAGGCTTAATCTGTACGAAGAAAAGGGTGTGATTCAAATTATGGTTACTAGAAGTGAACGAGAGATATATTTATAGATTATTTGTTTCTAGTGTCGGCTGTATTGACTGACGGGAACGTATGCTAATCAAAGGCAATAATCAGGGTTGAATTTTGTTTGGTTTCTTGGTTTATTTTGAATTTGCTTTTTATCGATATATTATATAATTCATGTATCGATTCAATTAAAAATAATAAAGGTTTATTCATAAAAGACCAGCATTTGTTGTATATTTTAAAAATTACTTTGAAGGCCAATTACAATTAATTCGATTTATATTTATCATCTGGGTTAATGTCCATTGCAAATACAGGTCACCCTCGTTAATATCAACCCCGTTAATATCAAGCTAAGCCACATGACAAAGTTTTATAAATTTTTGTATATCAAAATTCCCTCATGTATGTCAACTTTAATATGATTTCTCATTAATATCACTATCAACATGATTTAGAACCAATTCAAATAGGTTGATATTAACGAGGGTGACCTGTAGTTATTATAGATTCTAAGAAAATTAAGTTGAACGAGGCGATGTGAAGTCAAATAAGAAATGACGATATGGTAAAACCAAAAACCATTATTTCTGTATCGTTAATCTAACAATTTAAGCCAGGGATCGATTTTACTTTGATTGGTTTATGTTGGCAAAACTTAGGGTTAGTCTGCTTTAGAGGACATGATTGGGAGAATCTTGCATTGCTTACAAGAGCTTATTTTTACAGTGCTTCATTGACAGAAGACAGGCACACTGATTGATTATATGCTACACGATTGAAAAGATAGGCGCCTGCCGATTTAGAATCTGTGATATAGTCATTGCTTAAAAGTATACAAAACCTCTAGTGTTCTTTTATAAGTTCTAACTTGTAAGTGTTTACAAATTTCGAATATTTATTTATCAATTTTGCTATGTTTTATCTAGTTTCTAACAAAAATTTTACCTTGTATTATTAAATGTACGTATAATTAGTATTAACTTTATTATCTTATCTGACATTAAACATATTTTTACGACTTCGACTTTACTAAAATGCACCATGAGTTTGTTACATTTAAAGAACTGAATAATAGCTCTAAGTACTCAGAATCCTAAAAACCTTACTTTACTCTAATATCAACACTAATAACTTTTCTAAAAAATTACATAATACAAATAAAAACACGTAGGAAATTTATTAGCTTACACGAATAATTTATTTATTTATAAATTCGTGTAATGTATAGATTATATACGTAAAACAAAATTGACCCAGTTTAGCTTTAGAAATGGTTAGGGTTCTTACTAAAATTCTGCAAGGATATTAGAACCCCAGAAGTCGTTTTATAATCAGATACGTATTAACATATCTGTACATACGTAGTGTACAAATAGAAATTGCCATATATGAAATATTATCATTACATGGTGACTTAAACGAATGATAACAATCCTTTTTAAAATAGAATTTATTGAAAGCGGATCAGAATTTTATGAAGTATCAGCATTATTAACTTTGATTTTGATGTTTGGCATTGTTTAATGGAGAACAGCCGAACCGTTTTATACTATCTTAGATTCAAACGAATCCTACGTTTGTAAGCACGAATCATCGAATTGGACGGTTATCTCAATTTATAAAATGTCCGAAGCCTAATTACTAAATTATTAATAAACTTAATAAATTATCATTTTACGTCGGACTAAAGTCAAGTCATTATTACATATGGGATGTGTCAATAAAAACAGCACATTTTGATTTTACTAAAATGCACCTATGGTGTTTTGCACCCATGCATGTATTTCTTAAGAACTGTCTAATTAATCAGTATGAGGTGTTCTAAGTAAAAATGCTACACACCCCTGAAAACCCTTCCCAAACCCTAATAGTAACCTAAAAAACTAACCCTAACGTGAAAAAATTTAAGTCAAAAAATTCTATAAAACTTATAAAAACTTAGAAAATTTAAAAAACTTAATAAAAACATATAATAGGTGCAAAACACCATAAGTGTGTTTTATAATAATTGAAAAAATTTATTTGATTTTTGAATAGATATGCATTCAATAAAAGAAGTTTGCTATACGTATATATTTCATGAAGCTAGTTATATGTATAATAAAAAGATTCATAAAATGAAAATTATGTGTGTAGATTATTACTTAAAATTGATTTGCACAAATTTTGTTTATGTAAAAAATGTGCTGTTTCTATTAACACCCCCATATATTAGACTCTCCCGGAGCATGGTTTCCGTGGGCGTTACTCTCGTGTTGGCCAATCAGTGCCAGGTTTTTGACATCTTGGCATGAAATACCATAAAGTACATGAATACTATAACAATTGTTAATTCGGTACGAAATACTAGGAACTGTCCGACTCCAGAAGCGGATAAGTTTCCGAGTTTTTGATCATGTGAAGTTGTACAAATATATCAAAAGTTGGATTACTATATCTATTTAAAATTTCATGTGATATTATTTAAGTCGACTTAAACAACTTGACTTTAAATGACTAAACCGACATCTCTACGAAATACACAAGGACTGTTTTTACAAGTTTATTATTATATTCATTATATGCATTTCAATATGACGCATAAATGATGAGCTGGCTTGGCGCGTCTTAGAATAGAATTTCATTCTGACACGAATATAGATACATACGTATTAGTTCTTATAATAATTAGCCAACCGGCACGTTTATACTGTTCTATAAATAAAATAAAAAATTATTTAGTAAGAATAATTAGAATCTGTGTTAATTAATCTATATAGTATCAAAAATTGTTATTAGTAAAAATCTTTTTAATTCCTTAGAGATTTAATAAATTATACATATATATTTATTAGTAATACAAATTATATAAATTGATTAATTAGACTAAATAATATAACAAATATTATTAAAATTTTAATAGTAAAAATTGTTTAGAATAATATATATATATTTTAAATATTAAGGTGAGTACTTATGATTCAGGATTTTTATTAATAGTATATTCAACTAATGGTTGCATTACAATTACAAGAGCAATTGTAGAAAGAGTATATAATTAGTTACTTATACAACTTTAGTCATTGTCTAATTCAAGTAGTTCATCTAAAGGTTTTACATTAGTTGCTATACTTAGAATTCACTTGTAAGTTCTTTATTTAAACTTTCTAGTTCTTATATCTACTTATCTATTTAGGTTTTGAACTTACTATCTATTACTTGAAGAGTTACCAACTTATTTATTTTACTAAGTTACTACATTATGTTAAACCTATAAGTTAATTATATTATATATATAATTTTATATATTAATCTTTAAAAAAATTATATCTTAATGAGTTTTTAACTAATTTTAATAATTTTGTTATTATTAAAATTAGAAAAACTTATTTTATAACTTTTACTTAATAATTAAAATTAGTTTATTTAATATAATTTTTTATAAAATTAAATATAAAAAAGAATATTATTAATTTTATATATAATTTTAGGGTGTGGCAACTTAGTGAAATAGATAAGTTATTAACTCCTAAGTAGTAAATAGTGAGTTCAAATCTCACTGATGGTGAAAATTTAGATAATCACCTATATAATATATAGACAGTATTACAGTGATGATATTCTGTCAATCAGTTAAGATAAGATACCTGTTATACAATTGCACTAGCATGACTGACAGGTTATGAGGCATCTGTGCAATATTGGAGTTATACAAAGAAATGCAAACTGGCATTAGATAGTACAACTACAAAATAAGTTCTTGTGATTGTGTAAATCTGTAAACTGGAAAGCTGAAGCCCACTTGAAAAGACCTAAATAGAAAGGTAGCACGGATCTTTGATAATACTATTGTAAAGGCTTAATCTAAAAAACGAATATCAATATAAAAGAAATTGAGCAGACAAGAACCTTAAGTGAGAAGTATTACCAACCAGACTTCTAAAAGTTTCGAACTAAAAGAAAAAAACCTTGGAGACAAATCTTGGAATATTAGAGACAGGTTATAGTTTTACTAGCTTATCTGAATTAGGATTCTGAGTTTGAAAGCAGAGGTATACTACAAGTACTAGGAATATGTTATGAAGTTAATATTAGGGTCTGAGTGAACTTTACAAGGGTGAGCCTTGTTAGCAAAGATTAAATATGAGTAGTTAGTTAGCAGGAGGCCTTCTGGAGCCCTACAGTCAGATGATGTACTCTGAAATATATAACAGCTTGATGGATGTACAAACAGGAAGATCAAAGTTAGGTTAGACAGTATCTAATTAGGTGTATAGGAACTTGTGCATTATCTGCTAGTATAGTATAGAGGTAATCTTGTACAAGTTATATAATCATAATTGAATTCACAATAAAGGCAGTAGTCACCAATAACTAATAGCCTTAGCAAAAGCAAAAAAAAAAAATTTTATATATAATGTTAAAATCTTGTTTCTTATTTTTAAAATTTATAATTGTTAAAAACTTAATTTTAAAATATAAAATATAGTTAATTAATATTTTTTAGAAAGTTATAATTATATAATAAATATATTTCTCTAAAATTTTTTATTTAGTATTATAGAACACAAAAGTTTATAACCAAAAGTCTCAAAAAAATTATTTTATATTAAAAAGTACAACTAGTTACATATATACTTTTGATGTCTAATTTAAGTAGTTTACTTATATAGATTCTATATTAGCTGTTATATTTACAATCTAATTATAAATATTGTCTATTAAAATTTTTTATATTGTAATTTCTATTGTTTTTTTTTTTTTTTTTAAGATGACCTCTTTGGTCTTTGACTTTTATTAATTACTTATCAGTATCATGGTTCAATAAACTACTACAGAAGAGAGTACAATTAGTTACATATATAACTTTTCTATATTATCTATTTAAAGAGTCTGCCCGAAAGTTCCTTACCAATTGTCATACCTAATACCTCTGCTTGGATGTTCTACTTTAAACTCTCTAAATCTGTAACCTGTATTAACTTACTAGGTTATATTCAGATGCCTAGATCATCATTTCAACCTTAGGACTAATTTATCCTTAAGATAAACTCCCTAG